TGTGGGGAGTGCTCTGCGTTCCAGGAGCAGCGGAGTCTGCATTAGATGCTGGAAGACCTCGCTGATCAGAAAGAGGTCCAGGCGTGCTGGGGCAAACACGTAAAGACAAAGTTCCACGAGAGACAACGAATGACGCAGGTCAGACAATGACAAATCACAAAAGTAGCTTTTGAACTAATTTCAGCAGAAAGTGCTCTTTGCTACTGGACTTCCTAAGTCATACAAACAGCCTCCACTAGGTGGGGTTTCCACCGTTTTTTGGTTATAGGAAACATTTCAAGGTAAAGGAACTGGGTGCTACCTCAGCAGAGGCAGGTCGGTCACTGTGGACTGAAAAACTTGGAAAGATGACCCTGTCTACATTGAGCTCTTGAGTTTTTCCTTGTCATTATTCTTTAACCAACACAGTGGATTGGCTACTTGCACACATTTATATCGTATTAGGTACTGTAAGTCACCTAGAGGTGAATGCAGTGGCGCACGCCTGTGATCTCGGCCGCTTGGGAGGCTGAGGCAGGAAAATCCCACACTCAAGGGCAGCCCAGGCAACTTGGTGAGAACCTGTCTCAAAATTAAAAATACAAAGGGCTGGAGATGCAGCTCAGTGGTCGAGCACTTGCCTAGCAAGTGAGGCCCTGAGTTCAATCCCCCGTAATGCAGAAAAACCAGACGAAATCCTAGAAAAATGTCTATTGCAGCCTTTATAGTTTTATAAACGGAGAAGGCAAAAATCAAACAAATGGCCCCCAAACACAGCAGGCAGAATTAGAACCAAAGGCGAGATGTGCTCAGCCACCTGGTGGACCAGCCGTCCGAGTGCAAGGTGCACCACAGCCAGGCAAAGGCTGGGGACCACCCTGGCAGCCAGAGCCGACGCCAGGGCAGCACTCTACCTGGAGCTGCCACTCCTGCCCACGACCAGGGCCTGGCGAGCTCATGCCCCCACACAGGCTGCTCGACCCCAGACATCGAGCATCTGTGAGATTGTGAGTGAGACCGCCAGGGGCTGCCCTCCCTCCCTGAGCCTCGCCCGGGCACCCCGCGCCACGGTCTAGCTGGCCTCCTGCTCATTCTGGCCCAGCGGGTGGGACTGCATGTTTGGTGGCAAGTCCTTGAATAGACAGAGAAATCAACAGCCTCACCTTCTCCAATCGAATCCTCTCCCCACACTTGACATCTAGTTCATTATGGATTAAAATCAGGTCTTCGGAGGTCACCTTCCACTGGTGGCTAGCAAAGTGCACCACAGCAAAGAGACGGCCATACTGGCCGGTGGCGATCAGCTCGTTCACCTTCCTCACGACGTCTGGGGAAGAGCACAGCAGTCACCCCAAATGGAAAGGCACAGGTGGCCCACCCTCACCTCCCACTGCAGGGTGGTGCGGAGCACTTGCTGCCCGCTGGCACCTGGTGAGGGCAGCTCACCGCAGGCGGCCTAACCCTGTCTTGTCCACCCTGTAAGCACAGGTGCCAAGGAGGCGGCCCAGTTGCTGCTCTCAGAGGCACTGGCCCCTTGGGTGTGGGGTTGACAGATGGTGGTGCCCTCAGGCCCCACAGCAGGCCCAAACTGCCTCTTGCGGTTCTCTGGCCTGAGCATGAGCCCCCTGCCTGTCCACGGCTCTGGGTGGGAGGAACCCTCATCTTTCCACTGCTGTTCATTAAGGAGCACTGGCAGGGGACAGCCAAACCAAAAGGGAAGGACAGCCTTTCCCAACAAGGAGCACCCAGAATCACATTCTGGGGGCAGGCAGACTCCAGCCACGCCTCCCGGACTTGGCTCCTCTGCCATCTTCACAGCCCTGACTCGAACTCAGGCCACCGTATGCTAGACCCTGAGGTCTGCTCTGAATAGGGGCTCACTGAGCAGACACCCAGCTTGGCCTGCAGCTGGACACACAGGATGGACAAGGCAGTTCCTGCCCTGGACACAGAGTCAAAGCCAGAAGCTGCACCCGGCAGCGAGGGCAGAAGTCTTGGTGTGCAGTCGGCCCTTCCCATCCCTGGATTCAATCAACTTCAGATTGAAAAAATTCAGGGAAAAAAGCTGCATCTGTATTGAACAGATAATGGACCTTTTCTCTTGCCGTTACTCCCTAAGCGACAGAAGAATTAACGTGGCATTTATGTTACACTGGACATTATAAGTTGTCTAGAGATGACTTACATATTCGGGAGGACATGTGTAGGTGACATGTGAACCCTTAGCCATTTCAGACTTCAGGGCTTGGGCATCTGAGGATTCTGAACCCGCAGGCAGCCTGAGGCCCATCCCCCACAGACACTGGGGAATGACTACTTTCACCTTGTACGCCGTCTTTTTTCCTTTGTGGACCTGGTAATGGAACCCAGGGCCTTGCCCATGCTAGATCTCTACCGCTGAGCTACATCCCCAGCCCATCTTTGAGATCTGGTCATGCTAAGCTGCTGAGTCTGGCTTCCAAATGGCCATCCTCCTGCCTCAGCCTCCCAAGTTGCTGGGATTACAGGCGTGCACCACCATGCGTGGCTATCTTGTATAATACCCTAAACATACTTTAAAATACCAGAAGGGTCTATTCAACAACATAGGTTTCCAGCTTTCTGGAAAACTGAGGCTCTGGCTCCTTCCTGGCCACAGTGGCAGCCATGGTGTTCCTCCTCCTGACGTGGGCTCTGGGTCGCTGCAATTCCCCACACCCTGAACGTTTCTCCAGCACCCAGGGCAGCACTTCTGCTCATCAACGTTGCTCTTCAGACAGGGGGAAGCTGCTCCTGAATCCATGGAGACAGGTGGGACCCAGGGCAGGTACTGGGACCTGCCTCATGACAGCTGCTCCAGAGCTATTTGCTGAATGAATGAATCAACATTTTGAACATTTGGTGGTTTTGAGGTTGTTGTTTTGTACCAGGGATTGAACCCAGGGGTGCTCTACCACTGAGCCACATCCCAAGCCTTTTTGTTTTGAGACAGGGTCTGGCTGAGTTGCCAAGGCTGGCCTTGAATTACCAATCTTCCTACCTCAGCCTCCTGAGTCATGGGATTACAGGCATGCACCACTGTGTGTGGTTATGAACGAGCATTTAGAATTTTGGTGTTTACTGGCAAAAATGGACATGAGGATTCACACCAAGGATTCATGCCCTTGAGCACCTGGGATGTGAAACCCTGCTTTGTGGCAGTGGCCACCTTGATTGCTGGCCAGAGCAGTGTTGGGTGCCTCCCCTTGTTTTGACTCCCTGCAAGGATTTTTTTTTTAAATATATATATTTTTTTCTTAGCTGTAGTTGGACACAATACCTTTATTTTATGTATTTTTATGTGGTGCTGAGAATCGATTGAAGCATTTCGTGTGTGCTAGGCAAGTGCTCTACCGCTGAGCTGCAACCCCAGTCCCCTCCCTGCAAGTCTTTACCTGTGTGGTGTCTGGTCTCCTCAACTGGGTCTGGCAGAACAACTTCTGGCCATGGTGGTGAACTCAGAGACGTTTTAGGAACATACCTGTGAAAACATTTCATAAATGTGTACCATATGCACATGAAAAGCAGCTCAAAATCCCCAGGAAAGAGATGCTGCGCTTGTGGTCAAGATGAGCTATCCTCTCACAGGCACTGGACATCTGTATTGATGTGCACCACAGCAAAGAGACTGCCATACTGGCCTGTGGGGGGTGCTGGGAGTTACAGAACGGTGGGCGGGTGTGTGCAAACCTGCTATGGAGAGGGAGAGGGGCTTGAGCAACAGTAACACCGCCCCTTTAGGACCACTCCCACCTCTCTGGTCAAATACTGAGAAGAGTCTCCTACATACACCGAGGGCTATGATGTATTTCAATGGGCAGATCAATCATTAGTGACACGAATGTCCTAAGCATTCTGTTCCACGGGAAAACATGCCAATGTCTAGGCCCAGGATGGGGCACAGGGGAACTTGACGCAAATCTGAAATTAATGGGCATTTTCCCACCATGCTTGGTTTCAAAGGCGCTAGGAACAACACACCATGATCTGCGGGTGGGCAGTGACTTTGAGGAGCAGTCTCTTAAGTCTCTGTCCTGTGTGATATTCATAAAGAAAACAACACAGATAAATGGGGCCTGGCAAAGACAGCCAGAACCTTTCATGTGCGATATGGGAATAACCGGACACTTCTAGTAAAACGCCACTTTGGATTTCTTCCTAGGTTCAGATTGAGTTTTTCAACTTCTGCTCCTGCTGAGCATTCTGGCGGGAGGCAGGCACATCTGTATTTCTCCCTCCTCCCCACACCCGCAGCCTGGGGAGGGGAGCTGGGGGCTCGCCCACTGAACTCCATCCCAGCCCCTTCTCTTTTTACTTTGGGACCGGGTCTGGTCTTCTCCCTACCAGGTGTTCTGCGGCGCTGAGAACTAATCTAAGGCCTCAGAAAAACGGTCGAAAGGTCAGAGCTTAAGCGCTCTCCGACACTCGGGCGAGGGGAGTCCTGGCTCAGGGGGAGGCGAGGCGCGGACCCCATCTGGCTATTACCCTGCTGGAGGCGACGGGCTCTGCGAACCGAGTCTCCGCGCGGCGGGCCCGAGCGCGGCTGCGGGAAGAAGAGAGCGCGGTCACAAGGGCGAGGGAAGGCCGGGGCGTCTGCCGCGCGCAGCGGCCGCAGC